CACACACACATATATATATATATATATATATATATATATATATATATATATATATATATATATATATATATATATATATATATATATATATATATATATATATATATATATATATATATATATATATATGCCATCGGTCGATGTGCATGCCATCAGTCGATGTGCGTGACACAGAAGCGGTATTATTTGCTTTCCTTATATATATATATATATATAAATATATATACAGAGTCTGCATATATGCGCAGTCTATATGGGAATGTCTTCAGGTACAGGGTCATATATTCATCATCTGCTATACTATTTATTGGTTTGTAGACTGCTTAGGAGTGCTCTGCTTTCATCACTTGTGGCAAAACATACCATAGCCCTACCGAGGACACCACCACTGTTTGTTCAGCACATCGGAGCAGCGTACACACACGTCAGCGCTATCTCTAGCAGCTACCTTCCAGCAGCGCTTGCATTTGGACAGTTTTTGTGCATTCTCTGAAGTGTGAGTCTTTTCCTCATCGGTTGGTGGCGACACTTGTGCAGCCGACACTGTGACCACACACCGCCCAGTCAGAGATGGATGTATGTCAGCGAGGTCTACAGTGGTGACACGTGTCTGTGGTGTTTCTTGCGGTGTGCTGCTCTCTGCTACCTCCCCTTCCTGAGATGATATTATGGTCAATATAAAGAGGTTGAGCTGACATGATACTGCATATGCATGAATGCATAGTAAATGTATGCGCACCGATACTGTGATGTATATATATACTCGCGAGCGGATAATGTCACTCCCTGAAATAGACACTGTATGTTTTGGTTCCGAGCAAATCGTTAGGCGGATGAGTTGCTTTCATCAATGTGACTAAACGACGCCAGTTGAAACGCGCGATCGTGTGCGATGATGTCTCCAAATAGAAGGCCCCAGTTTGAATACTCAGATACGCCAGTTTTTATCCGTTGTGTTTCACAAATAAATATACGCTATGGCAACAGGGTATACTCTCGGGGAGAAAGCGTTACTATAAAGTGTACTCTCAGAGACGTATAACTATAGTATTGAAATATACTCTCAGAGACCTGTGTTACGATGGTAACAGGATAAAGCCTTAGGGATATAGTGACACCATAAAGTTTACTCGCAGGGATATGTGATAGTATGGCAGAGTGATACACAGCCATCGAATACACTTGGAAGGCACGAGCTATTTGAGACACGTATGCATTTAAGCACGGCCACACATTAAGGTGTCGAACGCAGACATACCAGTAGAGTTGTTGAGGACACAAGGAAGGCGTCATTGAGTCCAGACAGATAAGAAGCCGCACCGATTGGGTGACCTGTGCCAGAGAAGCGCCGGCGTGTGGGAGTAAATGAAAGTATGTTAGTGCGGTTAAGGCGAATGTAACAAGCGATACAGAATGAGGGCATAAAAGCTCACGAGAACTCTAGATACCGAGAGAATGCATAGAGCGCATCTGCCAAGTCTGTTGACACGAACGAACACAAAACAATGCACCGCGAAGATCAAGAAGGTCGTACTAATAGCGAAACAATAAGATGTCTAGTTTCGAAAAGTTGAGCATGAATATAATGACAGGGGTATCGAAGTACAGCAATTTAGGTATCACATTATGAGAACTGTTTTCAAAGGGGTGCGATGCAAGATAGTCTTTATGCACACATAGCTATAGAGATCACATATCAGATACATTCTTCAGGAATAAATATAGCACGATTCTGAAGTACATCAGCAACACTACTAATACGCAACTACAAGAAAAAATTTCTCCCACACGTTTTATATTCAGAGATACTATCCTCACCGACACGGTCTTAATGCAGGAGATCATATATATCGGTGCAAAGCTGTTTATACCACTACCAAGAATCCAATAAAACATGAAATAGACCATACAGAAATTTTGCCAGGAAATGAGCCCACCACATGATTACCAAATCAATTGCCACTGCCAGTCATATCAACAAATACGCTTATATGACTATTAAACAAGGGAATCAATATTATTAGCACCATCAGTACGAATACACTTATATGGCTATTAAACAAGGGTATCAATATTCATAGCACCATCAGTACGAATACACTTATATGGCAATTAAACAAGGGAATCAATATTCATAGCACCATCAGTACGAATACACTTATATGACTACCAAGAAAATCAAAATTCACAGCACATAGAGTACAAAAACCCATACATGGCTAACAAGAGAATCAATATTCACAGCACCTTCAGTACAAATACATTTGTATGAAGAGAATCGATATTCACGGCACCTTGGGAGCAAGTACATATATACGGCAAACAAGAGAATCAATATTCACAGGACCTTCGGCACATATATATTAATATGGCTATCAAGAGAAGTACGCAGACACCTAACGGCTAACGAGCGAAGTAAAGACTAACTTCCAGTGTTTCCCTTGCGAACACGTGTTTAACCGTTACCATGCATCAGCAGAGAATACACGCGCGGAGCAATGAAGGTAGGCAACATTGACCACACCGTCACATTCCACCACTCACCGTCACTACAAGTCTGCAGCAAACTAATCAGCTCTGGAGGGCCAGTGATAGTCACTTCCGCATCGAGTGCTCCGCCAATCAGTGATTCCTTTCGCATGGATTCTAGCGATCTTATTGGATAAGAGAACCAATACTATTTTAGACACCCATCATTTGAGAGTAATCTCTGCTCGTCGCGGCATTAAACTAAACGAATGGATGTCTTGGTATAAGGTTGTATTGAGTGCAGCTGTCGGTGCTGCCATTTTATGTTTCACCTTCTATAGAAGTGGGGTATAATCATCAAGAATTCATTTTATGTACTTCATGCTCCCGTGAATATACCCTACGGACAATGGAGCTCATGCCATCTTTTAGCCTAGCGATTATATATATATATATATAAATATATATATACATATATATATTGGAGAACCAATCATATTGCGAAAATCCTTGAGATACATTTCAATCGCATATCCGTTCATAAAGGTTGAGCGATCCGCGAGAGCTTGCATGTTGTACATTACCTGTTCACATGACTGGTCAACTTTTTGACAATATCCCATCTGCTCTGTAGGTCCGCACTCTTCCAGTTCGCCTCACATGCCAGCCATCCTGAGTTTGTGAAAAGCGGTCGTGTGTTCAGGTGACGTGCGTTAAGCTTGAAGCTTAGAAATGTTAGAACGATAATAGCAGTCGCAGAACAATAGGCTAGCAACTTTGACGAGGGAGTGTGATCTCATAACGACTTTTGATCGCTTGGCTCGCACTGAAGGGGTATACTGAAGAGATGTAGGCAATCCATCTTCACCAAATCATGGAAAATGAACCTGGTGTTCTGCTATAGCCACATTTATAGTCAAAGCATCACACCCGCAACCATTGCCAACCACACGCCTTCTGCTCACAATAGATGCTAAGCATCACGGTCTTGGCGTACAACAAACGGATCGGACGCAAGAACCCATTTCTGTATCCTGCGATACCACCGCCGTGGTTCATAGAGCTATTGTGTGACAGTGTAGAGAACGTAAGCTCCATATACACATAGTATGAACTCTTGACTGTTTAGGTGGACATACCAGACTTGAAGATGCTGTGCTGATGGCTGGGCGAGCTGTGTAGTAACAAGTGTAAGTGGATGTATTAGTGGCTCTGTAAGAGATGGCTGCAGATTGTGTATCACCTATCGTCTGTAATAACATCATATGAGTTTAGTTGTACACACGGCGGGAACTTCCTAGATACACATCTCAATGCTGTCATGATTGTCGGCGAGAAAAGTATCACACACCGCAGTCGAGCACCGTGTGCTATAGTTTACCTCCCGATGTGCATATATATACAAACACACAAGCAGGCCCCACACGCAGTTCAGAAGTATGAACTTGTAGGCTCTTTAGTGTTCTAGGGGGTAACGCACTGTCGAGTAAAAACTCGAACGCAACTACTTACCCTGAGGATATGGGATATTCTAGTAACAACACACTGCCACACTAAAGGCTTCATATATTGATCAACACTCGTCATACTTACATATACTGACCAACACTCGTCATACCTTCATGTAAGCACCCTTTCAATTTTAATATAGTTAAATGCTCACTGTTCTTATGGGCAGCACGATTAGCAACGGGGATGGCTGTGGATGTGGTGACTAATTTTGACTATATGCATATCTGAAACATATATGAGCGTGGATACGTGTCGAGCGTATGCCCTCCTCAATAGGCTTACTGCTGCACAGATTAAGCTATGATGTACTCTGAAATACAAATGACAGCATTAGGTATATATAGCTGTCAGGGCGAACCAGAGCGTGGGACTATATATATAACTCGAACGCACAGAGGGGCTGTTCCATAATTTGCCGAGTGCGAATGCATACACCTCAGATATATATCCCCAACAAACCATCATAGCCATAAGACAACAGATGCCCATACGCACTTTGAATGGACCCATACCTACTCGGGGTGTGTAAATGAAACACACAGACATGTGATTGTACTACTCGGTGTTACATGTGATTGTTATACATGTGTTAATCTAATTGCACAACCTGGCGTAGCATGTGATTGTAATACATGTGTTAATGTAATTGTACAACCGAAGTTACATGTGACTGTATTACCTGATATTGTGGTGCCAAACCTCATCGGCCAGATGCGGTAGGATGGGTGCTATGGCCCGTGTCAAAGTGTTGAGAGTGTGGTAGAGTGCTGTCTGTGCAGACCTTCTGCGCGCGCCCGTCTCCCTGTCGGTGTACAGCCTGTGGTTGACACGATAAGTAAAGTAGCTCTGTGAGATCGTTGACACAGTAGGTACCAAGGGCGAACGTTGCAGTGGTATTGGCACTCGAACGGTAGGGTTATGTAGCATGCGTGGAGATTACAGTGTACACAAAGTACACCCCCCAATACCACAATGGCATAGTAAGGGCTATCTCGAGCTAAGACACGAGTTATAGAGAATGCACGGTACTGCTCGTAGAGATTATAAAACCTAATGTATATGTGGTTTTTAAATCAGAACACATACCTGTAACTGAAGGACAGAAGCGAACAATTCGGTAGATAACAATGCACACTATGAGAGAACACACTACACTAACTGAAGGATATAACTGGACCATTCGGTAGATACCAACGCACACTATGACAGAACACACTGGTGTGACTGAAGGATACAACTGGACCATTCAGTAGATACCAACGCACACTATGACAGAACACACTGGTGTGACTGAAGGATACAAATGGACAATTCGGTAGATACTAACGTACACTATGAGAGAACACACTGGTGTGACTGAAGGATATAACAGGATCCTTCAGTAGATACCAACACACACTATGAGAGAACACACAGCTGTGACTGAAGAATACAACTGGACCATTCAGTAGATACCAACACACACTATGAGAGAACACACTGCTGTGACTGAAGGATATAACTGGACCATTCAGTAGATACCAACGCACACTATGATAGAACACACTGCTGTGACTGAAGGATACAACTGAACCATTCGGTAGATACCAACGCACACTATGAGATCGTTTGAGGCAAGTGCAACTCAGAGATAAGAGATAGCACAGAGAAGTTGAATAATAAGTGTGTTGTACCGCAGTGAGTAACTGAACAGAATTCTACCAAAGTATGAACCAGAAAATATTCTACCTTAATAAGAAGTAGGAATCACTTGTATCACAAACGAAGCACTCATCAAGTGACGATGATTACACACGGTGCTACAGGTGTTCACAACACAAGGTTCTCCATAAACGAACACTTAAAGAGTACTCAAGAATACAGTGGAAACATATGTGAAAGCAACTCAATTGAGGCCAAGGATGTCATGTGCGACATTCAGTGACATGGCCACCTCAGACACAGTCGAGTGGGACAACAGCAAGCGCAATCTCCATCCAATACATTTACGTAACGACAGTCCTAGAATACCCGCCATTTTCCAATTCCAGATTAGTTCAATACCTCTCCCCAGAGTCGGCGAGGCTCAGCACTGCGACTGGATACTGTCTCGAGTGCATCACTGAGTTCAAAGTGATATAGTAACTCAAACGATGATAGCGATTACGGACAGTATTCACACACCCATTGAAGAATTAAATTTACGCACACACTTAATGTATAGAGATGTATGCGCACATTTCCACATTCTCCATGAATACAACTATACATGGCATCTTCCAACGTCTTGCCAGATGTAACAATAGCACAGGTGTGTTGAGGATTGGACTACCGAACTCAGACCAGTAAACTGTAGCCACCCATCCGGCCTTGAAAAATAAAAATGACCCAGGACACATATACATGTACACACGGCATGGTATACGGAACCAAGACTCCAACCGTCCTAGAGATAAACACAAGACACGAACCCCAGCAAACTAAACTTGTGCTATGTGTCATACCTATCCTTAATGACATCAAAGTAGAAAGCGGATAGCTCCAGGTTAACGAACTTCATGGTCGCCTGCGTGACACGGTGGAGTGCGTATGCGTCGTAGTGGGACGTCACTTCGTTCGCAAAGAAAACACAGCGGTGCAGCATGTACCTGGAATGAGGACAGGGGGCACAAGCATGAATTAACCACACAGGACAAACAACTCTATTTGACACACATGAGTGTGCAGAGGTGGAGTGGGTTGTATGCGTCGGATGCGGAGAACGACATGTGCACAGGCAAGCGCCGCGGACAGATACAAGGAGAGATCAAAAGATGTGTACTACATCATTCGCGCACATGTGCTATTCCCGAACTGGGCCTTCTAGTTGAGTCTTGGAGAACGAGCTCAGCCCAGATAAGTATGCATGTACTAGCGTACACGTACATATATGCACAATCGAGAACAGATATAGCTATACCTGATCTAGGCTAAAAGAATACAAAGTGGGACAGCAAGTATATATACATGTACAATAGAGATCCGAGAATACAAACCGTAACCCTTAAATACATGCGCGTAACAAACATGAATAGCATATGTAGAGACCAGAAGATATCAATGTCAGTCAATCGAGCATATCACCTACTTGTCTATGTCCAACATCTCCGCATAAGGCACGGCATCCCTGTTCCCGTGGAAATCCGCCAGATTTCCCAACAAAAACCTGGCTGTATTCCTGATTTTCATTAGCTGTCCTAAACTTTGTTTTAGGACCGATGCACCCACACTGACATCGCCAGTCGAGTCGGCTGATGAGACCCACATTCGCAACGCATCCGCACCTCCGGCGGGTATTTTTTGGCCCTGTACTTGGCCACCTTCAACAACAACTTCTGGTGCAATGACATTTCCGAGAGACTTTGACATTTTCTTGGATCTGTGAGATATAGATTTGACAATCGCAATTGTTAATTACAAGAGCGTAATATACTGCACTATAAATTGTGTACGTGATAGAATCACAGAACAATTCACAACCCGTTCATTGCATTCTATGGGCACACGTCCCCGAAGTGTTGAGGGCTGCATAGACTAAGAGTACACACTAAGCACACAATATAACAACTATGCGTAAACATCCGCTTTCAGCTGTACTGTGGCAACGCTCATCACTGACTGACAAGCAGACAGCTCGTTGCAAGTCCTTACAATCACACTCCCGATAGCAATAGAAAAACCACTCATCTATGTTTGTAGACCACGCGCACCTTATTGCTGTGTCATGGTTCGTATGTTAATATTCGAGACTATTCCCAATTCATAGTCACTCTAATTACGAAGCGAAGGTACAAGACAACATGGGATCTAGAGTTTTCAGGCCGAGCACAGTATATTCAAAACTTCATTGCATATATATATATATATTACATATATATATATATATATATAATATATGTATGTATTTATATATACTATAATATACATANATACACACACACACACACATATACATATATAATATATATATATATATATATAATATATATATATATATATATGTGTTTGCATTACTATGGGAAGGGTGGTATTGTCATTCGTCTCCATGTTACATAACTTGTCGGTCTTTGACATCCGCATACTTCCAGGTTGTTACAAGTACTAGTACGATGTAGATAAAGAGTGTTTCCGAACAATAAGTATATTGGCACCGCTCGCGAATATTTACAAACACGCAATCGCAGGTCCACACATTTCGACAGTTGAATACATTCCAAACGGAACACAAGGACGAGAGTACAATTGAAAACTAAAACTAACCTCATTCCATACAAACACACATGAAAATGCGCATACGTGCACAACAGGTACAACATACTTCTCGTCCAGGACAAAGCCATGCGTAAGCACTGCTTTGTATGGCGACGCATTCTGAACAGCAGCAGAGATCAACAGCGACGATTGAAACCAGCCCCTGTGCTGGTCACTGCCTTCTAAATATAGATCCGCCACCTGAGGCCCACTTTCCTAATAAGGCAATCAAGGTGACGTGGCGTGTGAGACACATGCCTGTAATGAACATACTATGGGTAAATGTCAATTGATTACTTCTTTTAACAGGTCTTCTTTCAACATGTCTTTCAACAGGTCTAATTCTAGCCGTCAGCAGAGAAATACGGCTTTGACTGTGGTTGCTACTCAGTACGTACAAGAAGCGATCAACTGAGAATTGTTCACCCATACATGTAGTAGAAACATACACCAAATAGCAACAATTAGTGATGGATTCATAGCCAACACATGCTGCACACATTTACATCGAAACCCTAAAAAAAATGGGTAAATAGGATGTCGAGGTCAACAAACCCAACGCATATGTGTTGTTAATTGTCATGTGCTGCTGTTTTGTAGCTTAGCGATAAGGGTACTATGGTGTGTCAACCAAAACGAACTGCATGATGGCCTGTACGCATCTTAACGGACCCACGTACTGTATGTATAGTTCATATATAGAAGTAGTATGCTATAGCTCGGACACACACAGCAAGAGTACATTTCGAGCATGCCGGCTGTGTACGTGTTTCTGTCTATGAAGCACGAAGGTCACACCTGGCCATTGTGACCAACTAGGTGACAAGATGATACTCTACTACGCTGGTCACAGTTTACGCTCAGCTGCGTGTGGATTGCCGTTTCAGTGAGATGTTACATCCGGGCGCATACTGTCAAGAAATGCGATTGCCTTTGAGTCCGACATGTAAGAATGTGTTCAACGACATACCATGTAGTATGGTCCGTATATAGGGTTTAAGGGTTTTAGGGAGTTAGGGTTCAGCTGTGGAGCATATACACCCACAAGCAGTCACGCATACCACATACTACTCACAATCAAACGCAATCACGTTCACTCAAACCACCGCAAGAGCCCGCAGCACACGACCATATGCGTACTCTGGCACAAGCCCACACAGACACACAACTTACGGGGTTGACCACGCTCGCCCAGCTACTGCCGGAGTCAAACCACACATCCATGGTATCATGACCTTTCACCAGTCCTTGTCCCCTGAACGCCTCAGGCAATAGATCGTCCACAGTCATAGTAAACCAGCAGTCACTCCCGTGCTCGCGGATCAATGCACGCACGTGTCGTACTATGTTTTCATCCATTATTTCGTCACCGGTGGTCCCGTTATAGAATACCGGGATGGGCACTCCCCACACCCGCTGTCGGCTTAGGCACCAGTCGCGCCGGCCACTGACCATCGCACTGAGACGCGAACGGCCCATACTTGGTACAAAGGTCACGCCCTTCAGCAACTCCAGCGCCAGATCTCCCAGGCCTTACGATTGGTGGTTATAAATAGACATCAGGACGGTGTTAGATTGGCAGGAGATGAGGTTGAGCTCTGTGGATGGACACGAATGGCCGTTGCTTCGTAATACTGATAGGGCACAGAGACATAACATGTACACTCGCAGTCATGAGCCAACTGGTCTTAACCATTGCGAACTCAAGTCATATGCTGCTGACACGAATGCCTGGGTATCACTACAAACCCATTGCTGAATATCACCTAAAAAGGAATGGACAAGAAGTGCACAGTGGCGTGGCTGATTGTATCAAAATTTGGAACAATAAGCAGAGACTAGTGCGGACAGAAGATATTAACATGTAGCGATGTGTCTCAGGTGATGTTACAATGCAGGGGTGTGTCTATTCAAGATGCCATATCTTTGATAATATTCTCAGTTGAACTATCACGTGCTCGGTAATCAATAACCCAGTCAATGAGGTCGTTCTACAGCAGTAGCCAATAACAGCGTACTGGTCGAGACCTGGCATAGAAAGGTTATAGGGCAATGAATACATACAGACGTATTGCCTACAGACGACGTACGATACAGAGCTGGTGGCTACTGTGTGAGTGTGCATACGAATTGTAATGGCGTACCTGAGTGAACTCGGCCGAACCATTGCTTGGTGGCGCGTTGAATGACTGGTTTCTTTGTCCTCCTGTGTAGTGTGGTGACTGATTCTTAGTTTTATCAGTGCGTACTGTGATATATTGATGTCTCAATAAGTGAGTGCTGTGAAAGATGCTTTCGGGTTGGACAGAATGTGTTCACAATATGTTAATATGTACTGATAGACATGATGGCCTAACATATACATGCACATGTGCACATGTATGTGCAGTTTTATACTTAAGACATTGCAAACATTACGTTCGCGGATGACTTTGTAGCGCTCCGTATGAGTGTCTAGGAATGACTACGAAAGCATGTGAGCTTAACCTCCCACTTTCGCGATCATATGGACGCACCACAACGTACCTAAGTACAATATACCCCCCCAAAACACACATGCATGCACATGCATACCCGCAGCAGTCTCGTATGCGACCGAGAATGGCACTGTGTGCATACAAGAGTTTTTAGGGTTTAGGGTTTAGAGTTTAATATACCCAAAAATCCCAAACTCCTATTCAGAACCGTGTGAGCAATATAGTACACACTACAGCCCGACAGCACAGTAGGGTGCCACGTAGAGGTACAATGGGTGAGCACATTCAAGTCGTAGGTATGTCAGTGCTAGTGAGACTGCTACGTGGCCAAGCTACACATTTGGCAGGGCAGGTCAATCACCCTAAACACCTAAAACCTTAAACAGTACGAACAACATACCAATCCTTCGTGAGAGCAACATACCAATCATACGGATATCTATGTTTGTATGGCACATGTGACAGCAGGAGACCGTCGTTGCTCAGTTTGGAGATGATATCATCTGTCCCCTGCTTGTGTATATCTTTGCCCTCCAAATCGGGACCTAACCAGGAGTGGCAAGGTGATATAAAAAGTGTGTATGTGCGATGCAATTGTGATGGAAAAGCCTTTTAAGTTGGGGACACACCGTGTGTATGTAGGGCTTGTAAGTACTAGCGAAGGATGTGTTGCTTTCCGACAAATGCAAAGTTATTCAACATGCATAATATATATATATATATATATATATATATCATCTGTCGATGTGCGTGACAAAGATACACATACGCGTACGTATTATCTGCCAGGTCCTACATCCAATGCACAGGATGTGTGTGTGCATACACCCGTTACTAACCTGCGTTAGCTGTGAATCGTCCGGCCCAGTCGACATCCTCATCATCGCCCAAATGAATGCCATTGGCCCCACACACGGCGAAGTCGTCCACGCCATGGGCGGGCGCTGTATGCACCAGTCCGGACCCCGAGTCATCGGTCACGTGATCTATAAATAGAAGGTATCGGTTGAAGTCTTCGTAGCATGGTCTATAAATGTATCCTGCAGGGTTATCTTTACGATATGCAGGGGCGGAGTGCGAGTTGCGACACCGGGCCAGTGGCAATGTGGTCACGAATGTTGTCAGAGTACTCTTAGACACGATCTATATATTAATACCACAAAGTACGACGGCACATGTAAAGGTACTATGTATACCAGTCCCGAGGGTCAGTGATGAGCACTAGGATTGATAAAAATTGGACCATTTCAACATTGAAATCTATTGGCTCATGTATAGCTATGAGGGAGATAAACACTCCTGCCATATGCATTGCTGATGGAACATGCGCACTTGTTAGTGCATGGAGTTTCCAGAACATACACGCGTACTTATATATCCACACACACCCAACCATCTATAATCGTACACATACATACACATGCAACCTCGTGAATATCCATACAGCTACTATCAAATACACACACACCAGGGGAACTGACGCAGATATACCTCCCAACAGAACCGGACATTCCATATCACTGTGGATGGGGTGCCTATACTTAGCCCCTTCCAAATCAGTGCCCAGGCATGTGCCGTTCACCTTATAGGAGAAAAACGAAATTAAAATATTTATATATGTGCGTGTATATATGAGAAGCCCAGGTAATATGCTAAACAATTGCATGCATTATTTTCAGGTCCACACATATATACCAGATTGCTCGCATTTCTCTATTGTTTTGATCTCTCGGGTATTTTATATAGAGCTTCGGCTATGCCAAAAGTACAATTTTGGACTGCTACTTGGTCACTCTCCCGCTGAGGAGCAGTCTATTTTGACATAAAAACATGTGGAGAATCCAAACACAGGACGAACACCACTGCACACGGAACGAGCAGTGCAAATATCAGCAAAGCTGCACGGTGTAGATAAGTGCAGCGTTACCCAACTCAACACTAGACAACACCGAACCTTAAATCAACACAAGCCAACATGGTCCTAAACCCTGAAACAACACAGGCCAACATGGACCTAAACCCTAAAACAACACAGGCCAACATGGTGCCAACAACGTCATAAACCCATAAAACAACACAGACCAACATGGCCCTAAACCTTAAATCAACACAGGCCAACATGGTGCCAACAACGTCATAAACCCATAAAACAACACAGGCCAACATGGCCCTAAACCTTAAATCAACACAAGCCAACAAGGTCCTAAACCCTAAAACAACACAGGCCAACATGGTCTTACACACAGACCAACATGGTCCTAAGCTTTAAAACGACACAGGCCAGCATGGCCCTAAACACAGACCAACATGGTCCCAACCCTTAAAACATCACAGGCCAACAAAATTTTATTCCTCAAAACAACACAGGCCAACATGGTCCTAAACCCTAAGTCGCATTGTATCCAAGGCCACACCGCATCATTCTAACATCCCATTGCAATGTTACTATCAGAAGTATATCGATCGTAACTAATAATCCTTTCGAAGTGAAAGATAAAAATAAAAACCAAAAACAGAAACGTGCAACTGTGTAATCAGTGCTCACCTTGAAATCTTTCTCGCGAATACCCAAGACATCCACCATCGCCTCCACGCGACTAGCAGCCACCCAACAGGCCTACAGTTGACCAAAGATGTAGGTCACTAATTAGCGCATAAACAACCATTCGACTGTCAAGTAATACTATAGAGAGAGAGCGATGGAGATGGGCAGATAGTCACTCTCCGGATGTGTATTCAGCTATACTCTGTTGCGCTAAAACAGGACGTTACGCAGCGAATAAACAAACAGAAGGCCAACACGAGCCTTGGACAACTGTGATCCGGTACACTCGTTATCAAAAGGGGGTTTAAACAGGGTTTCAAGGTTCTATGGTTTAGGGTTTAGCGAAACCTTACTCGACTCGATTGTGCACTGAGAGACATTCCGTGTATCATATTTATATTTCTTTTCAAAACTGAGTCGTACATTCACCATTGTCGCCGACACACTTGCAATACACACACACTCGCTTTGTTGTAATACGCATGCACGTTTATATCGTTCTAACATACACATACACATCTCATACGCACACATACAGACGATGGCTTCGTTGGGACCCACATACATGTCATGAACGTTTACCTCATTGTCCCACTTCAGTAGACTGTACTGCATGTCTCTGCGCACACACACAGCCCTGTTAGCTGGCATGGTCCAGGGGGTGGTCGTCCATACTAAAAGCGACGCGGCACCGTGTCCGGCCATGTCTTTATCGTGCAACGCCTTGGGGGTACGCACCAACGGGAACTTTCCTCGAAGAGGAGATAACGAATGCGATAATGAATAGTAGCAATTGATGATATGAAGATTGTTGGCACGTGTTATAAGATGGGTGACAAGTAGTTGTGAAATAGGCACAGATCGGTTGGAGATGATGAAAAGTTGTGATCACAATGATCTGCAAATGACTAGCATTGGCGAAAAGAAAAGGCGGCAAAGTGGCCACAGGTGACAGGCCGATGATGTACACACGACACTGCCATAAGAGGCAGGAGAGAGTGTGAGATTGAACAGGCTGCTGTCTGCGATATGTGCAAAGTTGTGTATTGCAAAGATACTAGGAGCACAACGAAATAACGAAGGGCCGATACACAAATAAACAACTCAGTACTGGCCACAATGCACGAGAATAGAATAAGCGCTCGGAATAGGTTTAAGAAAAGTAAAGATCTTTTTGAAAAAGCAAGTCAGCATGGAATAAAAGCTTGCAGACACAAAGGCCTTGGAATAGGCGGATGGCCAACTTGGGCCACGCAATGTATGCTGAGTAACAGTGATATATAAATATAATATATATTTATATATATAGTTATATATATACATACATATAAATATACACATATATATTATATATATATATATAATATATATATACATATATACATATATATATATATACGATATATATATATATATATATACATATGTATATATATATATATATATTTATATATATACATATATATTTATATATCTATACCTAAAACCTACATGAGTATACATATACCTTGACGTAGATGGATGGACTGACGTGGTCATCCACATATTCCAGCTCAGCCTCGGCGAGTGCAGTGCGCGACGATGGCGACCAATACACAGGTTTGTAAGCTCGGTAGACGTATCCTGTAGATGCAAGAGTGTTGCAGAGCATCAAAATTGGCTACAACGTACAATCACACTTGTAAGTAAAGATAGTCTCCCATTAAGGTATGGTACATAAACCGAAGGTGTCGTAGCACGCAATCTGTTCACATATGTATAGTGTAGGGCAAGATAGCTAGTGCGTGCAAGTGTGGCCCATGGCACGAGAGTGAACTCCCGCTCAATGGTTGCACACGCTTGTGCTCATAGCATGCAGTCCTTGAGCGCGGCTTCATACTATGGCAGTCTCACATCACATCCAGTCGACAGGGCTGTACTTTGTATATGTATAAGTATAGCCTACAGAGCTCAAACAGCTTATAAAATATATACCCGGTTCTTCGTAGTTACTCCTCAAGCCGTATGCTTGTCCTGCAGCAATGCACTCTCTCTCCATGTATAGCTATATGCCCATACTACCAATGCGTGATTGCACACCCTGGTACAATGCAACAAATCACATTAAAAACAAGCTCAGAAAAGATAGGTGTGTCCACGTCTATTCGTTTGGCGATGTTCGTGATATCCTCAGAAACCACATAACACGCCTGTTGTTTGCCAGCTAACCTCTTAAACCTGAATATACGGTACACGCACTTCTCTCATACACGGGATAGCGTAGGACAGAACCACTCAGGTGTCCGCACAGTCACCGATCAAGGCACGCTTTAAACTATCTAGTCCCATATACACTCCATCACACGAAACCATACAAATGCTAGCTAAACCCCCAACCCCTGCACAGGCAGATGGCTTACCCTTCTCATACATCGCATAGAACAGGCCCAATTGTGTGTCCACATAGTCACTGGTCATTGTACGATAGGGTCTTTGCCAGTCACCCAGCACTCCCCACCGGACAAATCCTGCCATCTGATTGACTATGGTGTTTGCCGCCAAATCGCGTGCGGTCTCGCGTATGGCTATGGGCGATGTATCTGTCGAGATCTTGGCTTTCTTATTGGACTTCTTCTTCGCTTCCATGGCTGAGGGGAAGTGTATGTAATGGAGGTTCGCCAGTCCACACAATATGATCTGCATTTCGGTTTACATCCGTCGGTATGCATATTTGCATAGACGTGCAGTATGTACACACGAGCTTTGATATGCGAGTACATGCACAGCGCAATATACGGTCTGAAAGCATCGCTCGTGAGGAACTTTTTTCAAAAATTATGACTCATTGTAGATCTTCACGTTACTGCAACCAGAAGCAATGTACGGAGAACAAAAGTAGGAGCCAGTAGTGCCCTCTATACACAAGTACCGCAGACCACACACCGATGGCACATAACACAGGAATATGGCGCCTGGTGCACGCAAATAATGTTTATAATATACGTACGGGTGGCATGCATGCGGTACAGATAGGTGGCGAACTACACACATGCTCGATACAGGGGAAGCACATACTTGGTGTACTTCCACAGACTAATCATGTGTATGGCCATCATGAACACACATTATACTGATCATGATCACACTCGCACGTCCAGATATTCACAGGTACCACACTTGCACCATATCCACATGAATACATAACTTGCACTCATGCGTTTTTGCTCAAGGGGCAGCATAGCATAAAAACATGTATCATTAAATACACGCATACCTATACGCTCAATGCGTAGCATGAAAACAAAGCACGTTCAAAACTTGCATCTTATCACATAACTCCAACGGAGTGTATAACAAATACGCGTTCTATACTTATCTTATCACGCAATTACAATGGTCCTACAATTACCTTTGAGCTCAATGGGTAATGTATAACAAATGCGTGTTTTATACTTGCATCTTATCACACAATTACAATGGTCCTACAATTACATTTGAGCTCAATGAGTAATGTATAACAAATACTTGCTCTATACTTGCATCTTATCACACAACCACAATGGCCCCATAATTACCTTTGAGCTCAATGGGTAGTCCGTGGCAGTCCCATCCGGGAACATATGTGACACGATGGTTGGTCATCAATTTGTATCTATTGACAATGTCTTTGGTGATCTGATGACGGCAGGTATGTGTGGATAAAAAGTACAAGCCTGTGTGAGTGTTGCTGAAAGGTTTAACATATTTGGGAAGGCTGACACGATTGACACGGTTGGCACGTGTTGTGAGTGGGGAGGGTCAGTATACAGGCGGATAGAGGCATGACCAGCACCTAGACAAATGCACATTATTCATACTCTAGATAAAAAACACCTACTCAATCTCTTTAAAATCAGTCTCGCACTCATACATGATACATGCTTCGCAAGACACACCTTATTGAGCGCATGTCCCAGATGTAAAGGTCCGTTGGCGTAAGGCGGGCCGTCGTGCAGAATAAACTCTGCACCCGTGTTGTTCTTCTGCTGCCACTCGTACAGCCCATGCACACAGCGATCCTGAGCACATTGCGATCAAATGGATTGAGTTATCCTCGATATTCCGTTCAAACGTTACATATGATTGTACTCATAGAACGTGCCTCTAGATAACCAGGACACTCTGTGTGTATAACTGTATATGTATCTGGTATAGATGTCCCGAGTCTTGCGGTGACGGTGTGATGGTGACAGTTCATGTCCCACAGTTGCGGTATTCAGGTGCTCAGTGTCAGTCAGCGTGTTTCTGCGCCCTACATATACTATTAACTACTCGTAGCGATGGTGTAGAGCGTAGTAAATAATATAGGCCAGGCTGCCAATTGACCAATGTAATTGGAAGAACAGTTGCACGTCATATTGAGCCGTTAGAAATCAGTACAGAGTTCACTGAGCGAACTTCATGCCTAGAAACAGGGAATCATGCTTGCGACCCTACACTTTAGACTTATTGTACATGCGTATGCGTGTACTTATAAAGCAATACAAAGATAAACCAATAACAGTAGACAAGTACAAATACAGTACAGAATTGCTGACCATACTACGCAATAACAGACGAGTAGCCACGTGAGACATTTCAAACTCGCGAGTACGTCAGTTTCCGACGGACTGAGAATTACAGATGCGTGACAATCCAAGAGAATGGATGGATTGAAGCCACTGGCATATGACCAAGATAGTAATACAGGCATAGATTCAAT